ACAGGCATAACAGGCCAGAAATGAAACCGAAACGAAATTGAGCCATTTTGTGTGAATGAGCGAGGCAAATGCGGCAATAAATAACCAGGAAGCCAAAAGTGGATCTTGAGTTGACATCGTCATCGTTCTCCCCCTGGCCACCCATTTATGCATGTCACTTGTGGGCTCTAGTTGACTTTGTTACTGAAATGCCAGCCGAATGCTATTAATACAATGCTTTTAAAACATAAGTGTGAGATGGTTACATTTAAAAGATTGTTTAGTGGTCGAGCCATTTAATTCCTTCTTCTTAAACGTTTAAGCTCGTAGAAAGTACTCAAAAAATGTACGCAATTATGAGCGTGCTCTCTGACAGGCTCTTCGCTCTCGTTCTCGCGATCTCCTCTATGTTCATAAAACAACTATATAAGGAGGTCTCGTCGGAAAAAATTATGGACTAGTGCGAGTGAAACGTGCGACTGAAAGGGCTCTCGCTGTAAGTGTGAGAGCAACGACAATGGAGTGTGCTGATTAATCATTTGAAGGCAATGTGAAAACACTTAATAATTGTTTCATAGTTTAATTTTTAATAGTTTGCTACATAATAGTAGCCTGTGTTCTGAAAAAATAAACATTTAAAAAAATATTGAAAAAACCAACCTTCCGCGTCGACAAGCAAACGTGCACTGAGAATTGGGTAACGCAGCGAGTTACTCTGCCACCGATGAGGCCTCCTTATATAGTTGCTTTATGCTCTATGTTCTGCTCTCTGCTCTCTCGGAATGGTCCGCGTCTGTTTACTGAAGCCAGACTTTTTACATACATACATACGTATGTACATGCATGCACATAAATATATGTATGTAAATAAAGGCAAGCCGTTCAGGGGAAGCTTTCAACTCGAAAAAGAAAAAAAACAGGCAAACAAAAAAATACATATTCTTACAAGGAAGCCAAAAGGAATGGGAACCCAGTAAATTTATGCCTAGTTATCGATGCCAAGGCACAATTTGGCCATCAATGAAATATTAATATAGACCGAAATGTCCTTTTCTGATGCGTAGAAGTTTCTCAATATAAAAAAAGATTCCCATTGAAGCTAGTTTTTGTGGCTGCTTGAACTTTTTGCCCGATGACTCATCGAAAGTACTGCTGAAGCAGTCGGGAAACTTAAGTTGTCGCCATATCAACAGGTTGGGTTTCAGTTCTGTTCCTGTCCCAGTCCCACTCCCACTCCCTGTCCCTTTTCGATGACGAAATCGAGTTTCTTTTGGCATTTGAGTCATCAGTGGAGAGAGAGCGGGACAGCTGGAACCGTAATGGGAGAGGAGCCCCAATAATAATCTGCAATGCTCATAAATGGCGAAACCCTATGAATAGAGCAAATAGATAAAATAGTCTACTGACTCTGGGTGGGTCCCGGTCACGGCCTGGGTCTCTTTCGTTGTCTGCCTCCGCGGCAGACATTTATGCAAATGGGCGACGAGCCGGAGCATCTTTTGCTCTATGAATAGCACAAAAACACACAGAAAACTCCAAGGACAATACATTCAATTATCAAGGACTGCGCCAAGACAAGAAGTAGAAGCAGCAGCAGCGGCAGCTCGTCTGTACTTTTAGTTTTTTCCTTTTGCCTGTCACAGACAGCAGCCGTTTACATAAATGACTTTTGTTCCGGGGCGAAACTGGGACTGCGATGGCGATGCCTCTCCCGATTCCGAGTGCTGCTGAGATTGTGGATTCTGTGGCTGTTAACACCAATTACATAACATGACAAGATGAAGCTGGAACAAGTACTCGGAGCAGCAGCAGCACCGCACAATGCCGCGACAAAAGCGCAGAAGGCTGAGAAAGTGTCGCGTAAGCTTCCATTCCCAGAAATGATGTCCAGGCGTGCCTGTGGGGTTTTCCCCCCGCTTTTCAGCTCAACTTATGAAAACTTCGCTTCCCCCTTTATGCCACTTCCTGCCACACCCTTCCCTGGCTTCCTGGCTGCTCCGTTGGCGTCAATGGTCTGTGCGTAAATTGCACGCCAAAGAGGCGAAATTTCTGCCCGATAAGGGGATTCAGGACTGGAGAAAATAGAGCCCAGACCAGCTGGCGGCAGGCAGGCAGAAGGCCCATAAGTCCCTTAATCTTGGGCTGCAGTACAAGTATTTATGGCATATTCGAGGGATTTCAATCGAAATATCAGGCTTAACACTTGACGTCGCTTAAATTGCCTCACTTTGGTTATGGCAATAGCAGAATCTTAAAGCAAAACCAGGCTCGACTCCACCATTACGAGTGTCGAGTTACGTTTTTCGGGTGTTTGGTCCATTGGTTCCTGGTTAGCTGGATGGCTGGATGGCCCGTGGCGGCGCCAACTGTGCTCGTAAATGTTTTGGTCATTAGCCCATGGCGTGAAAACCAATAAACGCGTCGGGCGCATAGAAATAAAGAAAAAATCGAGGGAAAAACGAGGCAACAAAACACAGCGGAGGCCACTCCGCTCCGCCTGGCGAAAATTGCAATGAAATCAAAAACTACAAAACAAAAACAAATGCCTTTATGATATGGCCATAAACGCCGACCAGCCTGCCTCAACAATGGGCCAATTTGTGGCGCTCAATAAACGTAATAAAAATATTGCAACTTTTATTAAAGCCAACCATTTTTGGCCACATTGTGTGTAAGCTCTTCAGTCACTTGTTTGTCTTTCCCTCGCGGTCAGTGGGGGGTCTTTCGCTTTGCTTTTATGAGTTATTATCACAGCCGTGAGTGTTGGTCAATGTACTTGCGGTTAGATGGCCAACAGCCACGCCCACACTCCGCACCACTGCCACAAAAGAGGAAGAACTGTAATAACAGCTCCTTTGATTTATTGTGAATTTAATGCGGGGTTTTGTCCAGGATGTCTGGTTGTGTGTTCTGCGTGGAGTATTATTATTGATGATTCCGCCTTCTGCTGCTACAGGTGCAAAGGCATTCAAGGTACACCTTGATGAATCCCATTTCAGTGAGCGATTCCGTTGGCTCCTCCATAAATCATAGTCACACAGCCAGAGCGTCTGTCCGTTTCCGTTCACATTTATTTGAAAACCTTCAGCCAATCGCAACAAATATTTAATGAACAAGCAATTCCAATTCATTTCTTTAATTGAATCGAACCGCCACGATGGCTGTAATCCACGTATATGGCAGTTTAATTCAGTTCCGTTCTGGGCCATGCTTTGCACACTCTGAGTCAGAGACTGCACTCGTAGAACTTCGCACATCACACATACGCCCCATTGCCCATTACGCATTCGCCCAGTGGTAATCATTTCTGTAAACTGTTTTCGATCTCCGCCTCGTGCGGTCATCATGCCACATCCCAGCCATCATTCAGGCCACGTAGGGGGAGGGACACACACAAACACAAGTCGTTGTCCCGGAGCTTTTCGCATGCTCATACAAATGGCTGGGCGACGGGGACAGAGACTTGACTTGGCCTGTCTGTCAGGCAGCTAACAAATGGAGGAGCTCCCTCCTCCCAAAGCGGCAGCAGAGAAACTATTTATATGCGGCCCCAGGCTAGCATCGAAGTGTGTGCCATGGATGGAGCCTGAATGGAGCCATTTATGGGCAACATATTCGAGCGCATTGTTTGCATCTGTGGTGCGTCTTCGCGTTGATTAATCGATTAATCGTGTGGCGCCGCACACGAGGCTCGCATATCTGCAGTGCCCGCAAAATGAATCACAGCGAACGAACTGCTGGGCATAATTCCACGTGCCTCACGCGCTCCTAAGTTGACGCACTCCTAATTGGCAGAAACTTTCTTAGGAACGCGTAGACACACACATGCCAGGAGCGACGCACGGCTAGCCAAATAAAACTTGCTTCCCGGCGACTCCTTTCCGGAACGCCATTCCAAGCCACACCCTGCTAGGCCTGCTCCTTCTGCTCCTTCTGCTCCTCCTGTGAATAATGTTGTTGCTTGTGTTGCTAAATGCTAACGATGCCAGGATGCTAGGATGGGGAGTCAAGGGTTGGGGCAGACTGCGCACCGGAACGCGTCACAGGACGATGATGATAATGGCCTCGTTGCCATTACTTTGTTAAGTTTCCCCCTCTGGATGTTGGCTTAATTGATTTAGTTGAAGCTGCGCAGAGTTTAATAGTTTCACATCATTTATAAGGTATCCAGGGAGCCCCAAGGAGCTGTCGTTCACTCTCTCCCTCTCTCCCTCTCTCCATCTCTCTCTCTCTCTCTCTGTCACGCTGTCAGTTCATTTGCTGAGGCATTTAATTTTCGCCAGCACTGTGTTACACATTGCCACGCGCTAACAGGGCAAAACCGGTTGAACAGCATCGCATGCAATCCAGTCCAGCTATTGAGTCAACTTGGTCTGCACCGCCAACGGGTCAGCCTCCCTTTGGAGCTCGGAGTGCCAACTGACGCCTCATCGCCATGAATGGCATCGCTCCACGGCCCGATGTACTTAAAAACCCATTTCAATTATTTATTAGCAGATTAAACATTTAGAAATTTCAAGAATCTGGTCTGGTCTCGATGCTGTGGGTTCGGTCTAGCTGACCGCCACAATGCGCTGCAAGCGGGAAGTTTATGGAGATACGAACATGCACAGAAAGGAAGAGAAATCCACCATTAAAAGTACCCAAGCATGAATCAATGAATCAAATATCCGTTGTAGCCTGGTCCATCCTGTACTTGTAGCAGGACAACTCCCTGTTTTGCACCCCGACTCAATCCCTCAATGACTATCAATCGAACAGCAGGGGAGGCCAAGTTCAGGTGTAATTCCAACTGCGTCTTTTGATCGTCTTTCCAGCTCGTACTTGCTGCTGGCCTCTGGTGCACATTACACACATTAACAATATCATTCTCACTCGTAATTGTTGTTGCTGCAATTAGCGTTGGTAGCACTTGATTTATGCCAGCTGCCAGGCATGCAAAGTGGAGCTGCTTCCATGTATAGACAGTGTCTCCGCTCGGAAGCTCCGAGCAGCCATTGTCATCGTATAAAAGCTGCAGCAGGGCCTGCAAAATTGAGTCAGTCCCACCATAGAAACCGTCTAGCACGGACGCAAAGGGATTTGCCACAATCTGTTCTCTACACTCTGGATAAGATGCGAACGACAGCGGTAAGCTTGATATTGGTTCTACAGAGGGAACAGAAGCATTCATTGAATGGGTTTTACCTCTGAGAAGTTGCTGTTGCTGCTGCTGGGCCTTCTGGCCATTCATTTCGTCGATGAAGGAGCAGCTCATGTTGTGCCCCTGGCTGGTACCTACCTGATCTCTCAGGCAGGACCAGTTCTGTTGCTAGTCCAACCTCCTCCACCGCCACCACCAGAGGATGATGGCTCCTACAAGCCTCCCGGACCCGCAGAAGATGGCTCGTGGCAGCCACAGCCTGGGTTGGAGGGTGAGCCAGAGCCAGAGCTCAGCCAGAGTCAAGATGGAAGCGCCAGCTCAGATGATGGAGGTTCCCTGAGCTCGGACAGTTCTGGATCAGCTGCCGGCGAAGCTGCGGCCGCTGGTGATGCTGCTGCTGCTGGAGGAGGAGCTGGAGGCGCAGGCCAAGCCGGACAGGCTGGCGGTATTCTTGGTGGAGCTGGAGGTGCTGGCGGATCGGGGGGCGATGGCAGCGCAGGAGGCGGTGGTGCTGGAGGCGGCGGCGGTGGAGGAGGAACTCTCACATCCGGTCAGAGCGGAGAGACTGGACAGCCGGGCGCGCCCAGTCCGTCTGGACCACAGCCCGACGGCGAAGACGGCGCCGATGGAGCCGACGGAGCAGATGGTCCTGATGGTTCCAAGGGTGGCAAAGGCGGCAAAGGTGGAAAGGGAGCACGCAATGGCGCTGGCGGAGGTGCCGGCGCAGGAGGCGCCGCAGCCCAACCCGCACCACTGCCGATAGCTCACGCCGTTCTCGTCCCAGCCCCCGTCTGGCCCGATCCGGAGGTGAACTTGATGTAAGTGTAAGAACCTTTGGAAGGCAGGAGCAAGTGCATGATTCATCAATTCTCTACTCTACTCCTTTTACAGCCACGTTATCTAGCTGCAATCCCGACCCCTCTGCCACTTCCCACTTACCTTTTTGATGGCCGATTAAGCATCCAATTAGTCTTAGGTCTAGTCAATGTTTTTGGAACTCACATTTAAGTACCTTAAGCTGAAAGCAAACGAATATTAAAATTCGATTACACAGTGTGGAGGCTTACAGCTTTTCCTTTCAATTTTCAATATTTGTAATCAAGCGCAGGAAAAGGTCAAACGTTGTGACATTTTTCGTGTCCTTCTGCCACAGAACGCGCACCGTGCAAAAAACCAAACAATTTGCTCAAAAAAATGCATAAAATTGGAAGAAATATTTACTTATTCAATGCCTTCTACATGCAACTAACTTTGCAAGGATAAATCCGGTTTCATTTTCGTTTTCTTTTGCTGCTTCAATTTTGGATGCTTGTGCTGCTGCGCGCGTGTTTTGTCATTGTCAGGTGTGAAAAGTTTGTGTAAAAGTATTTTAACACGTGAAGAAAATGGGGAGAAGGAACATTGCTTAAAGCGTTTAAACGCGTCAGAACTTATAGACCTCCAAACAGCAATTCTACTTGACTTCTACATGCCTTACATGGATCTATAAACCAAAAGTGAAGCACGCCTTTTGGCTGAACAAACAAATTACCTCAAGCTAAAGCTTTAGATTTTCCCATAAAAATACGAGCATCTAAAGTTCTCGTCAGGATTTATTTTGGCTGTCAATATAAAATAAAATAAATTGTTTCTAATGAAGAATTGCCCACAAGCATGGCCAAAACCGCACACAGGTGGGTTTTCGTATGCAACGAAAAGTGTGTGTTGAGAGGGAATTTATGGTTTACACGGACATCGACAACGACATCGACATCAAGGCCAATTAAATGTTTTGTTCTGCAAAAGCTTTGACAGCAGAGTGGGCAAATGCAATTAACACATGGCTGTGGCATACCTCCTACACTGGGGATTTCAAAATGCTAATTATGCACGTCAATCAGATGAGATTCTGTTCGTTTTGAACGGTGAAAGCCAGCGCCAAAATATAGCATCGAGTATTACATTGTAGCAGCAGGGAAATTCGCGGAAAGGAGAAAGGTCAAAAGAGGACACATTTCCGTTCACATTTCACCAACGCGTCTTCTATTTTGCCATCCGTGTCATAAATCTAACCCATCGTGAGGACGTGAGTGAGTGCTCTTCCGCTTTGGCTTACTTTGTGCCACAAATTGCGCGAAATGTGCTGAGAATTGAATTGTCCCGTTTGCATTATCTGCCTTGCAACAATGATTCCATCCAAAAATTGTCTCGGGTGTACAATGCATTTGTTAGGTGCTTGATGCCATATCGCAGCTGTGACAAAGCATCCTGGAAAATGAAGTTACCACAAAGTCTGCGCTTTACTTTGGCAGAAAGAAAATAATTTAACTGTCCGCACTTGGGCATATCTCTATCCATACATTGTCTAGTACAAATTGCCAGAGACTCTGTGGATTGCAACACGTATTCAAATCCGATCAATTAGGCCATAAATTAACGCCTCAACCATAAATTAAATTGATGCAAAACAAAATGCACCGCAAAAAGAACGCCCACCACATAAAAGCTAAAAAAATAAAAGCAAAACAAAATAAAGACAGCGGCAAAAGAATGGCAGGGCAGGAAATCGTTTACCAATTTTGTTATTTTAAAGATTGTTGACTAAAAGGCGTTTTGCTGGCTGCCAGATTGGGTTTGGGTTTGGGGTTTGGTGCCCTGACTGGAGGGCCAAATGGCACAATGGCCACGGTTCTGGCCCCCACAGCCATAATGGATTCAGTTTGGCCAACTGCTTGGCATGCAAATGAAATTCTTCAATTCGACTCAAATCGCGGAGTGGGGGAGAAGTGGTATGCCAGGGGTAGCGTGTTGTGCAAATCAACGGCAGAAATTGCAATAATATTATTTGGCAAAAAGAGCTACAACAGCAATGCCGCTGCACATTCACTTTTGACTGGATTCGGACACGCCCAGACACTTGTGGCAAGCAGGGCGGTCGATTGGTCGATTGGTCGATTGGACCACCGGCTACCGTTTGCTGGCTAACATTCTGAGCCACACAATCGCAATTTAAACAATTTCAACTACCGATTTCGGTGGCCTACCTATAATTAAATTAACAGCCGGGTCAGTAACCGCCGTCTTGGCATCCCCTGGCACCTGCTCCCCTGAAGGTCACATTTTAGAGTATTTCCAAAACTGATTCCACTTAGTGTTTCAGTCTGCAGTAAATTCAAATGCCAATGCATGCTTAATTAAATGGCAGGCAGTAAGCGACCGATCCCATGTCCCTGCGGGCCACCATCCAAAATTTACGATGGCCGGGGCCAAGCCTTCTTTGCAGGGGTGCTCGGTGGTTTATGCGTGGAAAATTGAAAATCGCCGGCCACATTTTCACTTTCTGTTGGCAGTGAATGTGACCTTTGCGTGTGAGCCGTGGGTTGTTGTAAATGTTTAATTAGTTGCCGGTAGCCTTCCTACCCACTGCCAAGGCTATTGATTGGGCCAAAGGTTGCACTTGAATTTATGGCCCACAGGCAGGCATTTCATTTCGACTCGACCTTCCATATCCCACAGATGCCACTTCCCAAATGGAGGGGAATCCATGTCAGCCTTGACAAATGTTAAGAAAAAAGAGAAAAACTTGTTGCCCAGCTTCGCCCGATGGCAGCTCCGTTCCCCCCAAGTCCAGTGACACATTCTCCGCATAAGACACACAAATTGCAGACGGCAGAAAAACAAGACTCATACCGCATTGATTGATTGTTTGTTCACTCTCTGTGTCATGCCACATGCCCCGTGCAGCACCACGCTCCAGGCATTCCCCCCACCACTTACACAAATATGTACATACATACATACATACATATATGCCCCCGCCTGTGTGAGTGTATGCAAACTTCAATCGTTGCATTGCAAATATTTATGTTCCTTTCAAACTTCCTTCCTCCCCCCCCCCCTGTCAATGCAGTCAATGCCGACAATGTGTGGTGTGCGAGCAAAGTCGTCGGAGATGGAGATGTGTGCCAGAGCTTAAAACTCCCACAGCAGGGGGAGAAGTGGAATTTCTCAAAGATGAACCAGCCAAAGAAATCACATTGTAAGCAAATTTAACCAAGCACATGCTAGTATTTACCAAGACGAATATGCACCACAAGCTTAAATAAATCCGAATAAGAGTGCACTGCTGAAGTCCCTGCCAGATATTTACTAGAAAAATGCATAAATTGCAGCAAACTAAATCATCACTGCTGTTCGCTATTTACATACTTCACTGTACATTGTTCTGGCATAAGCTTAAGCGCGGCGGCGGCGGCCGTTCTTTCGTCTATCCATCCCACCTTCTTCGTTTCTGCACTTTTCTCGCGCTCTTTCTTTCTTTCGCCTGAGCTTAGCAGCAACCCCAAGCTGCTATTAACCTCTCGCTCTCTCCTAAGTGCCCTGCACCTAACTGTAAAGCGATTTACTTTTTGGAGTAGTGTAAGCTCGGCGATAATTTGCAATAAGAAGAACGGTATTGTCGCACACAAACTCAATCACTTCAAATATCAATAGAGGCAGGCAACTTGTGATCAAATACATTTTTGCAGTTTATTTGTCTGTTTGCAGTTTCGTATAATATATAGATTCATATCTGTTCAGATACATAAAGATTACAACAGTTATTTACAACATACTCATACAGCGTTTCTCAAACGAAATTGTAAGGAAGGAAATATACAGAAAACAGTTTACAAAGGTAAAGACAAATAGAAGAGGAGAACAGGAGAACAGGAGTTAGAAGGGAGAGTAGATTGATAGACTTGTAAGATGTAGGTTGGATACAGTTTAGCTGGGACTCAAGTCAGGCTCGATCGTTGCTTAACGGGCAAGGAAGCCACTTGCAGGTGGTGGCTTCAATCTCCCGTATTTTGCGTTTGTGTGTGTGTGCGTATAGTGGCAACAGAAAGAGACAAAGAATAGATTGGAATGCTGCTAGAGGTTAGTGACAGTTACATTTGCATATGCTAGCTGGCTTCGGTAGTCGGTTAGAGTGAAACGAAGGATGTCAGGCAGAATGTGTAGAGATATGCTCGTCTCGTCATCGTCAATGTCGTTGGCACGAATACAGCGGAAACTCCGGTCTTCCGTTTAGTAGTGATCGTAGTGGCTGTGGTACTGGCCATCGTCCTCGTGGCCACCAGCTGCTCCACCGTAGTAGCCACCATGGGCACCGGCTCCCCCATGACTGGCAGCGGCAACGGCGTTCAGGTGGGCGGCGCGGGCATGCTGCACCTCTGCGGGCTCCACGGGCACACCGTTGTGGATCACCGGAATGTGGATGGGACCGTTGTGCGCGTAGCCGCCGGCATAGCCGCCGTGGCTGCTCTGGCTGGACTCCCAGCGACCGTCGTAGCGTCCGTCATCCCAGGAGCTGTGTCCGCTGCTGCCGTGGGCGGAGGCCTGCGAGAGGGCGGCGAAGTGGGCAGCCTTGGCATGCTGCACCTCGGGTGTGTCGACGGGAACACCGTTGTGGATCACTGGCACATGGTAGTTGCCGTGGGCAATGGGGGCACCGACATGGCCGGAGCGGGCGGCAGCGTGGGCGGCGAAGTGTGCGGCCTTGGCGTGCTGCACCTCAGGAGTCTCGACGGGAGCGCCATGGGCATGCGCCACTTGACCCAGAGCCTTGGCATGGGCGGCATAGTGCTCAGCCTTGGCGGCCTGCACATCGGGGGTGTCGACGGGCACTCCGCCGTGGGTGAGTGGGACATGGGCGGGTGCTCCGTAGGACCATCCTCCACCGTAGATCGAGCGCTTGTACAGGTGATGGCCTCCGGCATTGTGGGCGGCGGCAGCGTGAGCGGCGGCATGAGCGGCCTTGGCGTGCTGCACCTCGGGAGTGTCGACGGGAACGCCGCCGTGAGTCAGCACGGGGATGTGGATGCCATGAGCATAGGGCGCATAGGGCGCATAGGCGGAGTGAGCGTGGGCGGCAGCGTAGACGGGAGCGGCATGAGGAGCCTGGGGCAGGTTGGTGCCTACGGCATTGAAGCCGTGATGGGGATCGGCGGTGTAGGAGACCGACTGCACGTGCCCGTGTCCGTCCACGTAGGAGTATGAGCCACGGGTGGTGCCGTCGTGGGCGCGCGTCTCGTGC